ATGCGATTTTAATTTTTTGCTACAACTCTAAAGTGAACAACTACTTGTAAACCGTTGCTTGACAACGTTTTTTGCCAACAAAAACAACGCGTTACAATTGTACTCGTCAGAAAAAAAAAAAAAAAATTTTCATTTAAAAGAATACACTTTATTTGCTCTTTTTTCCAAAGTGTTGAAAAAGATCCACAAAATAATTATTCCCAAGAATATGTGTTAAATTGTAATTTCACTCATAGTGCGGATGACGTATGAAAATTGAGAGGCGTCAGTGTGATTGTTGGTCTTACAAAGTACATTTAATTGAGTGGAGTAGTTGTTGCCGTGTTGCTTTGAAGCAAGAGTGTTTAGAAGAAAAAAAAAAAAAAAAAATCCAACGGAGAGGTCATACGCGCGAACGACTCATGGAGATTATTCCATGTAGGTGCAAACAACGTAGCGTGACAGAGTGTACGTTCCGAGGAAATGAAAACGGCAATTGAAATCAAGGATTAATAAATAATTGCGGCTATCCTTTTGCTTCGACAGCCTCGAGGACTGGCGCACCGAAAAGGGGGTTTGGATTTTTTTTTTTTCCTTGTACTAGTATAAGCGTGAGCGTGTGCGTATGTGGCGAGTTCTCGAAATGATGTTCGTTGACATTGTAGTTGGAAAAAAAAAAATAATAAATAAAAACCAACGTGCTATTTAAGTACATTTTTTTCATCGATAAATTCCATATTTTATCATCAAACTTGTTTTCTCGTGGGTATAAATACGAAATAAAAAAAAAAAAAAAAAAAAAGAAAAGTTCACAGACCGTAGCATTTTCTAGAGTTCATCGTCGATACGAGCTGAGTGTATCTTGTGGTGACATTAACACTTTCGTCCACTTTGAATTCTACGTATTTCATCTTGAAATTCATCAGTCGTTTAGATAAAAAAAGAAAAAAAAAAAATAGTCCCGAGCACTACTGTATCGTGTTTTTTTCTATTTCCGACACGACCACAGCTTTAAAGAGATAAAAAGCTGACCACAGTGAATAGTGTGTTTAAGGGCGCAGTAACAGCATCACGATTTTTGCTGAAACACAAAAAAAAGAAAAAAGTAATCACAAACAAAACGTGCCAAAGAGCTCGAAGCGAGAAGGAAAAAAAGCACGCGCCAATAAAGATCGAGCGAGCGAGCGCACCAATCAGCCCCCCCCCCCCCGATACTAAATGCGACATCGGGATATCTTGCTTTGGCAGACGATACTCGGATAAACGCGCCAAAGGTTTTCGGCAGACTTTTCATTTTCCCCCCTTTCAATCGGTTTTTTGGCTTGCGTTACGATGCCTCGGCGCGTTGACGTGGCTTTGACGAGCGCAAATGTACGACAGATTGCTTCCCCACCGATTTATACCGACATATATACCCGTGTAGCCCGTCATCTTTCCTCACGAGTCGACATCAGTTTTTTCTCTTTTCGCTGGTATTACCAAGTGGAATACACTTGAGGGCTGATCGAACTTTTTATGTGATTGCACTTTGCCAGTAGATGAAGCCAAGTTAGGTAAGACATGTGTATACTCTATCGAGGAGCCAACTTTTTGCTTCGTTTCGACCCAATTACAGGGTGGAATCCATGAACGCCCAGTGACATAAAAATCTTCATCTATCTATACACACGCTATGTGTATTTCCGACAAAAGATACGGTCAAAGAGTTGAGGCTGGGGCCAAAAACAACTTTAAAGAAAAAAGGCAGCCGAGATGATGAAACATCGGAGGAAAGGACAAATCGGACCGAAAATATCCCCTCCTTATAACGACAAGAAAAGGCCCCCTCGGACCAATGCGGCATCTTTTTCTCTCTTTCTCTCTCCGTAGTCTAGCAATGGCTGGGCTTTGTTCCATTTCCCTTTGTTTGTCGGTAAATCGAATTACGCGAAGAAAGAGGAAGGAAAAAAAAGGGGGAGGGTGGGAGCAGGGAGGCTTGTTATCCTCCAGAAGGGGGAGGGAGAAGGAGTTCGATTCCGAGGACAAAGTCCGTCCAAGAATGGGGGGTACGTGCAATCGTGCTTTTGATCTCGCGATCTTGTGACGACGGACACGCGCGTGGCCCCTTCCGCGTATGGATATTGTTTTTTTTTTAAATTTCTATCGAGAGCGCGTGGGAGAGGACAAAAAAATGGATCTGGAAAAAACTAGCAATACCTACTCGTTTCAACCAAGTCAGCGGATGGTCCACATTGAATCGGTGATAAGCAGATTCAGTTGGTTGACCATCAAATGACCTGTTCGGTATATTTTCACCATCATCTCTCGCATCGCAATTCACATACACGCAGTCTATACGAACGCTCATTCTCTGCTGTTGCATGATTGAAAAAAAAAAAAAAAAAAAAAATCAATACCGAGCTTCCAAGTCATCATTATCGCCGCGATCAAAAATCGATGGGTGTACACACGAAAAACCAACGGTCAATACGCGTGCACGTGTATACGAGCCAAGCGCCAGCGGGGCTTTGCGAAAATAATGCCTCTCGTGATTTGCTCGCGCATCAAGGTCGGCGAAATTTATCGGAGCAGCCTCACACGGGTTCGTTTATATACAAGCGCGTATAACTCGACAGACGCGAAGGCCGGGGCTGCGCAGCGGCTAAACGGATAAACCGTGAATTGAATTTCCCGGGGTGGGATTCGGTGGAGAGGCCCTCCCGTCTTACTGCGTTGGCTCGAGTTGGGCTTTGTTGACGCGCCCGGGAAGCTAGACTCGCAGACGCGATTTCGTACGGCTGGTGGTGCTGTTGTTTACCTCCCATTGAGGGCTTGCCGGATTCGTTGTTTGATCGTACACACCTCGGATGGTTAACTCGTAAAACCATGCTACTCAACAAATTCAGAGATGGTTGCAAATGTATGTTCGGTGTCTATAGTGTTATGTTTATGTATCCGTGACGTACGCGGTTCTATCGGGTATTGGAAAACTGTGTGTTACTTATCAAGACAAGCAAAAGAGGGATTAATACAAATTTCGGTTCGATGGGCACTGTCCATTATATTAATTATCGAATACAAATGGATTTCATCTGTTATCACACCCACCTGCTGTATTCAACTTTTGTTTTATCCGTTGACATGCAATTAATTGAAAATTTCAAACAAAATGCGTATAGTACACAGAGAGAAAAATATAATCAAAATTACTGTGCTAGAATGGTAATATGGTACTGTTCGGGCATCCAGAGACTTTTTCTATTGAAACAATAATTTTTAACGTTTAGAACAGTAATTTTTGTTGTTAGAACATTGATTTTTACTGTTTGTACAAGAGAAATTACTGTCCAGAATAATGGTAAAAATTAGGTTGGACAAAGTAAAAAGTCCCTATAGACAGTAAAACGACACCAGATTACCATTCCAGCACAGTAATTTTTATTATATTTTTCTCTCAGTGTATCGACATTTATTTTCGGTGCAAGAGCTCTGCTTACATTGTGTAATATGGGCGATGAAATTTAACCAGAAGCACGAAAGAAATTCATTTCGATGGTAAAATTTAATAACACGAGACAAAGGGGGAGGGGAGGCCCGCAAATAATGCCCCTTTGATTCACACCACGCTCATTTGAATGAAAAAGCCATTTCTTAGCCCCGCCTTCCCATCTAGCTCGCTACTAATGTGATTTTTTCGGCGATGAGCTTACTCTTGCCCTTAAATTTACAAGCTCTTCGTACTTGTGTTGGTACACGTGATAATTAAAGTTTTTTATGAGGTCGCGATGTTAAATTAATGTATTATATTAATTTACCACAGTGAAACAATCCATCTTTTTATACTTATCTTTTTTTTTTTTTTTTTGTTACACCACTAAAGTTACTACATTGCAACATCGTAATAAAATTAATACATGTATTTCTATTTATACAAATAAATAACGTTATTTCGTTCTTCTTTTTGATTTGTTATATTTCATCACCTAAACTATAAATAAACGCTAATTCGAGGAAGTAAGAGACTCGAGGTATACATTTGCATAATAACCAAAGGATAAGCCACGATAAAAGATAATAATGACTGATTCAAGATGAGTGTGGCGATGGCCGATGATAAGATAAGACTATGTGTTTCAATTTCTCCGATAAATTTAGTGACTCTCACTCCGAATGTAGATATGTACTGCACATACAAACATAACTTTCGTGGACTCGTCTCGTCACGTGCACAAACCCCTCGATAGGATATTAAAGGTATAATATATAATCTTGATTTACTCCGTCATATATAGGTATATATCATAGGGAAAAGGCACAACTCGAGAGCTATTCTTTTTCGGTGAAAACGACAATGTCCAAAGGTCCGAGAAATACTCTGCTATCCACCGGGGCGCTCTTGATTCTAAAATTATTCCGCATAGATATATAGATCCACGTGCTATTTCAAAGTAAACACTTTTGGCGCGCATTTGTGCAATACAATATCCACATGGACGCGGCTCATTTGCCGCGAACGAGAATAACACATTCGTAGGATAAAACCCGCGCGTTTGGGGGAAAAAAAATCTCTTCACGTGTATCAAAAAATAGAAGCAGAGGGAACGATAAAGAGGAGGGTAAAAATAATATCGAGCGCGAGACCGAGGGGGGAAAAATAAATAATAAACGCCGGAGGCGATGTTTGCGTTTCAGCGATCGAAGGGGGGGGCGAGAGAGGGAGTACTCGACAAATACGCACGCGCATTTCTTTGACTCGCACAAAATTTTTTTTCAAATACACCTACAGCATAAATGTCGCGGTTGGTAAAAAGGAAAAACAAAAAAAAAAAAATCGACGCGCAACGTCGAAATGCAAAGCAGATGCAAAAAGAAAGAGCGGCCGCGCTTGTACGCACAAAAACGCGATTCAAGGGAGACCCAACGCGGGTTCTGGATTATCACGGGAGGGAGAGTAACGAAAAAAAAAAGGGGGGAGGGGGAAAGCGCAGGCGACTCATTTCGAGGTGTTTTTCAAGCTCTGCATGACGTGTTCTTTGTTGCAGGTGTCAGGGCAACGCTAAAGGAAAAAATCGTCGAGCGCGCTGCAGCATCCAAAGCATCGGTACCATGAGGTACAAGGTGAGTGTCCTCTACTTACCCTTTATTTTTTACCACGATCATCACTGCCGCGTGTTTTTTCCAAGGAAAATACGCCTCTTTTATAACGAGAGCCCTGCTTCTCTCTTCTTCGTTGTTATTATTAGTATTTTTTTTTTTTTTTTTTTTTTCCTTTGTAATGTACGCAAGAGGCACCCACTCCTTCTTTTGACTTTCGAGGGATTAATGGTCTCGCATAGCTGCTTGAAAGGCGCTGCTGCGGGATAAAGGATACTGATACACTCGTCACCCCCCCCCCTGCCCCTCTTTTTCTTCTCAGGTGATCCAAAGGCGATCGATGCGAGCAAAGCGATGCTGGAAATTGAATTTGAAAAATGATTAAAGCGAGTAGGACCTTCTCTCGCCAAGAATCGGGAAAACGTGGGTATGTGTTTTGTTTGCGGAGACGAATGGTGTGATGAAAATTTACACGGGGACCGATCGGATTTTTTGATTTCCCAGGGGGATCTCGGAGGAATTCGGAGATCGATCTGTCGCGTGATTTTGGAGTGAAAGAATGAAGAAAAAAAAAAGGAGTACGCATTTCTTTGGTGTTGTTCACGTGGGGGTGTCCAAGTGTTTTTAAACTAACGCTCGCATGGGGCACGAAGTCAAAGTCATAATTTACAATCATTTTAAAGATATTCGAAGCCTTCAAAGTCATCGAAAATTATTAAAATTATATGTAAAGACTTGAAAATACTTACAAAGTTTTTGAAAAATTTCCAAAGACTTTCAAGTAATGTATAAATATTCAAGACTCTTTACAACTTCAATGTCCTTTAACATCGTTGAAAACTGTTGGAAGTCACGATTCAAAAATATTTGAAAAATGTCCAAGTCATCCAATGAAAATCCAGTACTTTTGATTGCTTCGAAATCCTTTTTTACCCATACTAGTTGTAAAACCCACATGAAATATTTGAAAAGTTTTAAATATATATTTCGAAACGTTCAGCAAGGCTTCGAAATGCGCAGCCCCTTGAACATTTGTTTGCGGCGAAAAGCGATTGGTGTGGAAGATAAACATAAGAAACGAAAGGTTTATTCCATGAAATCGAAAACAGACCCAAACTCCAACTGCGCCAAAGTAGAAACAAAAACTTTACTCCAAATTAATTTATCAGAAAAACCCCACGACGATGCAAAAGTCAATCTCAAATACATAAAATCAAAGTGACGATATTCGGCGAGCATGCATGCGCACCCCCTTCAAAAGGATGAGAGAGAGAAAAAAAAAAGTAAAACATCCGGATTGATGAACTCTGACGAGCTGCCGGCTATCATCCCTTTTTTTTTCCACCCGATTCGAGGGAGATTTTTCGCTCTCCTCCATGACAGCTTTCTGATTTCACGCCCGTCCAGTCCGCTCGAGCTTGTCCCTGCTGCGCTACCCATTTTGGATTCCGATACCAAACGGACGCTCGTTTTGAGCGCTCGAGTGCTTTTTCGCGTTTCCACCCTCCCTCGATTTTTCCTTTTTTTTTTTTTTTTTTTTTTTTTTTTTTTTTTCCAAAACGTAAAAAGAGACGAAGGCTGGGTGTAGGTACCGGAAAGAAAAGAGCCTTTGATATCACTGTCCGTGGGGCCTTTCATTGACACCAGAACTTTGAACGCAGGATAAATATTTTAATTTAACCTTTTAATTCAGATTATCCTTTCTGTTACGATTCTTTAAAAAAGAGGACATAAGGACATACAAACAATTCGCAACCATCAGTAAATATGCAAATAAAAATACACCTCAACTGCACTGCGTTGGGATTTCTGCGATGCAACGATTGGAAAATCGCTCATTACATGGAACAATGTGCCTTTTTCCACAACAGATACACACACACACACACACACACACACACAAAACATGAGTGTTTACATGGTACATAAGTATCTCGTGTATTTAAATCGATTGAATTTTTGTTTTTTTTTCCCCCCATACTTTGTTGCCGATCGTGCACCACAATCGCACAAAGAGCAAGCCGGTATGTCGTTTTCGGCGCGCCGGGAAAGGAAGTTCACCTTGTGAAAAACACGCGTACGAACCCTCCCTTCCGTTATACTTTTCTCTCCCTCCTCTATCCCAGAACGAAAGAAAACCTTGAATCTTTTTTTTTTTTTAATCCATCAACTGCATCTGTAAGCACGATAAATAAAAGTATTGCACGTTCGTGCCTCCGTGCGTGCAATGTCACGCTTTCGCGAAATCACTCGACTGGGTCACTATGGGCATAGAATATGTACTAGGTACTACGGCACGTCGAGCGTGTNGATATTACTTTTTTTACTCGCTGATTTCTTTTTTTTTTTTTTTTTTTTAACTCAGTTAAACAAAAAATAAGTAATCGATAGAGTCTGATTATTTTGTAAAAAATTGTGGACAAAGTAGGTTTTTCCTTGATAAATTGTGTGTTGACAGCGACAGAGTAACGATTGCTGTGCGCGATACAGCCCTCATTCTATTTTTTGTAAGAAGTAAAATTAGACAGACTCGGGTATACTTATTTCGTAAAGATTTCAACACTTGAAAAAAAATTATTCTAAAGAATGTGCATTTATTTAGCTTAAAAAATTTTTTATTCCTCGCTATTAAAAAAAAAAGTTTTTTTTCCGAGAAACAAGTAAAATACATTGATATTATATACATGAAAGTCATCGAAATCAAATATTTTTATAATTTTTAAAATAATGTTTTATTTCCAAATTGTATTTTCATTTTCCGTTGCGTTGTTATCACAAATGATGCATTAGAAGTCCAACTAATTTTCATCGCGCGTAAATGTATTGTTTTAGTTACCAATAAAATTATCAGAGGTGCGATTCATCTCCACGGAAAGCCGATCGAGAAATTAGCAGCGGTAAATCCTAATTGATAAGGAGAGAGAGAGAGAGAAAAAAAAAAAAGAAAGCGTCCAACGCGCACCTGCCCATATAGCTTGTAAATGGGCCATTGTCGGTGGGCTTTTATCGCCCGGAAAATTGCGCACGTCCCGCTCCCATCGCCCATCCACATAACACGCGCGTTTCTTCCCTCTCTCCACCCCCTTTTTTTCCCCCGTTCCTCCCCTCGGCCGATTCTATTCGTGTATTTTTTCGTCCACCGAGCCACGCGTCTATTTATTCTCGCGGTCTTTTCTCCCCTTCCTTCTGTTTCTCCTTCACCCATTTCTATTTTTCCAACGGAATTAACGCTCGGAAACAATTCTTTTCTTTTACAAAACATTCAACTCCCATCGCGCTTGAAACTAAACATCCACGCCTCGTGTCCTAATTCGCAAACCCCGAAATTTTGACATTATTCAACTAATTGAATGACCAAACACGCAAAACAAAATTGTCAATATCACAAATCATTCGAAAAGCCATGGATGAAAAATCTGTCCACCGTCGTCACACACCCACCGCGAGGAGGCGACAAGGTTTGGCGGTCTTTCCAGTGCTGCGAGCTAAAAATGACGCGTGCGAGCAGAAAAAAAAGGAAAAAAAGAAACAGAAGGGCACACACCGTGAAAAGGCGGTAGCGGAACCCAAGTCACGAAGCCGGCAGCGAATAAAAGAAGAACGAGATATACAAACATGTGTATCCCGGAAGTTAGGGCTGGGCGGGCTGGTACACGCTGTTCCGCGAGATGTATATGCACAAGGGGTCTAGGGGGCACTTGCACACAAAAGATGGGGGGGGGAGGGGGGTTGAAGGAGAGTCGCTCCAAGGCGCTTGGCGAATCGAAGCGACATAGATGTACGTATACGTGTATTCACGGGGTCGGATAAGGAGAGACACATCAGGGCCACGCTCTCGTTGCAGGAAGGAACGTGACTCGCGCCGCTGGCGTTTAACGATCTCTCCCTCTCTCTCTTCGCGGGAGTGCCTGCTCGACTGGAGACTCATCTCCTATCTTGATGCGTTCGCGGGGGAGGAGAGAGAGCACAGGCATTGAAATTAACGTCCGGGCCCGACACGTCGATCCAAGGGGTTACTTGGTCTCGCCGAGCGCGCACTTACGTCACAATTAGTGCCTCCTCCTCCTCCTGCTGCTGTTTCGACCTTTTGCTGCGATTGTTGGGACTGATTGTGCTTTAATTTGTTCATAAAAAACCAGGGAGTTTTCTTTACAATCCAACACCTATGGTAAAAAGGCCACGAATCATTTCAGGCCTTCAATCAACATCAAAACGAAATTCGCGGGGTCGCTTATGGAAAAAAACAATGGACCTCCGTAAAAGCAATGTTTTATCAGCGTGCTGTCATCCAAACGACGATGGATCCAAACATAAAGCAACATTTTGTGGACAAAAAAAAAAAAAAAAAAAAAGGGGGGGGAAACAGACGTGAGCTCTCCCTTTCCCTGGTATGGGGAACAAAAAAGTCGCCCCCTGTAAACCCACCCACGTATCCATCAATTTCCGGGCAGTGCGCCGGGAGAGAGAAGAGGCTTTATGGGTGGGACATAAAAAAAGTACTCGCCGGAGAGAGAGGACGGAAAGAAAGTTATGCGCGCGTGCATGTATCTGTATCGCTGATCGTTGATATTCCCCGGTGTNAAAAAAAAAAAAAAAAAAAAAAAAAAAAAAAAAAAAAAAAAAATCCCAGTAAATCCAACGCAAGAAGAAAAAGGGAAAAAACTCTTGAACCATCAAACGGAGCTATTAATGAGGACTGAAGCACCGTAGGATCGGAGCATCGATATGGTGGCTAATTTCCTGCATCCGCGACAAGACTCCCCCGGGCGGAGTTACGAGCCCTTACCTCGGATTGGCCCGCAAGCTCTTACGGAACGGGCACTGATAGGATACTGATGGGCGGCGATGGTTGTGGGTGTTTTTCCGGGACACACATGATTCTTCCTAGTCGTCCACGGAGACGTCGGTGATTTTGTCCCAGTCACGTGCGATTATCCGCGGTTGTACAGTAATTAAAATACAAGAGCCAGCCAAGCCTTATTCATTTTTCCGTACAGGCAATACTTTGCCTTCGAAGCGTCCGC